GAATTCTTATGCAATATGCCCAAATCCTTGACATTCAAAGTATTGCCCCTTTCTCTCAACTTCTTTTTGAGTGTCTCGTCCCCCTTTCTGTCTTCCCTCCTTAGGAGTAGGTTACTAGGCTTTCCTTTAAACCTTGGGGACTCGACATTGCTAGACTTGAAGTATTTTTTGAAATTTCCTAGAAATTAAGGCTAGCTCTAACTCGAATGTACCTCCTTATTGACTTATAGTACTTACGGCAATGCTCTTAGCTTGCTTTTAAGGATGGAAAGTTCATCTCAAAGGTTAATATAAATTCAACTAGGTCTTCCACCAACATCAACTCCATGTTGACACTTGTTTCCAAGGATTTGACCTTAGCATGAAACCTCTCCGGTAGAGATCCCAAGATTTTTCACTTGATGGCCACATTGTCAACCTTGATACCTAATGTAAATGATGAATTTACAATATCACGTAATCTAGCATAAAATTCACTAAATGTTTCATCATCTTGCGTCCTCAAAGTCTCAAACTGAGATATGTACATTTGGAGTCTAGACATCATCACTATGAAAGTCCTTTCGTGGGAAATAACAAATTTGTCTCACGCTTCCTTTGAAGTTTCGTAATTTGTAATCTTTCGAAACTCATTCGGTGTCACAACATTGAATATCATATTCAAACCTTTAGAGTTGTACCTCATAGACTCATTCTCATTTTTAGTTCATACCTTTGAAAGTTTTACTTCAACCACCACTTCACCACCTTCAACTTGCATGTTGGTGGTGGAAGGGCTCCAACTCTCTTACATGATTAATCATACTCTCTCATCAAATGATTTTAGAAATACCTTCATGTGAGCTTTCCAATGTGCAAACTTGGAACCATCAAAGACAAGAGGTTGAGTAAATGAACCACCTTCCTTTTTGAGACTCCATTGAATACTAACTAGTAGTACCAATGGATCTCTTGAAGGTAGACCTAGGTAAGTAAACAAAAATAGGATACGTCTACTCAGTGTCTATGATCTCTTGACTACGACTCACAGTTAAAGATGAAGTGTATACAATGAGACGTTTACACATATTTTTATAGTAACATTACAACTAATTGTGTGACTATATATAAACACCTTATACATGGTAGATATCACATAAATTGAACATTATGTCTATATCAAGAGGATCTACAGCCTATAACAATCGCACAAGCCAATGAGTTTGGTTGTTAAGAGAGCAAAAAAATGATTATAAGAGTACGAGTTTTTTTTTATCCAAAAGAGTATTATGCAAGATTACGACGAAAGTGGACATTTCGTGCTAATGAATTAGACACATTATGCACACAGCTAAGAGTACTTGCATATCGATGCCACATACATGTTCACTGACAATGCAACAAAGGAATTCAGAGGACTATGAATCAACAGTTAATCATGTCCAAAAAGGGAATAATAGGATGTTGGTGTGTAGGTATCGATATTATATGCTCTAACTAGTAACAAACATGGTGAGAACTGCATGTGGAAGAGAGTTGACACCTATTGAGCAAAATAATGACTTATCTAATAAACAATACCTATCAAATGATTATATGTCTGATAAGGAATAACAAGAGTAATTAGTGTCAAAATGGTGATGTCTATTTTATCTCAATGTGAAGTAATCACGTAACTTTATCATTGTAATTAGTGTGATTTTTGATGTCTTTACCTCATCTTGGGATTTTTTTAATTAATGTCACAAATGTTCTGCATTGTCACAATCTTATCAGTGTATTGTCATGTCATAACTTCAACAGTGTGAGGTCATGTCATTACTTTATCAGTATCAAGTCATATCACAACTTGATAATGTGAAGTCATTTTAAATATTTAAAAAATAGTTGTGAACTTCATATGCCCAACCATGCCTATATAAATCTTCAATCATATCTATGGAAAACATAGCAAAAAAATGTTTAGGCACACATCAAATAGGCATTCTAACCAAACTGACAAAGGATCTTCATCACACAATGAACAACATAGTTCATCTACAAGCAACCAACATCATCGATCGACTGACCAACCAGCACCGTGGCACATAGTGTCTTTTATTGGATCGTGCATAGATTACAGTGATGTAACATGATATGGATGAAAATGTGAGTTCCATAATGAGCCCATCAACATTCATAACCCATTAGGGCATGTTGTTCTTGAAACTATCAGACCTGCAACTTATAATCCGCCTCCGATTGCTCATATCGAGCCCACACAAAAATGGCAAAAGTTATATGACAAACATTGTGAACTTGAAATATATTATCATTAACATGGATTATCGGTACCAAAGGCACGTTCAGCTGATATATACCATTCATGGAACTCAAACAACCATAACGAAATCGTAGCAAGGCTTGACGTGAAAATGATCAAATGTAACGTCGGCTTGATCATTTGCATGCAATTGAGTATGCACAAATTGAGCATTTCGATCTTGATTATGCCATTATTGAAATTTTAGAGGATCTGTTACTTTTTTCCGATCCTGAAGTTTCTGAATTTTCAGATTCAAGTGACAATGAGTTTGAAAATTTTCTTCTAGCAACTTTATGTGTATGTGGTAAAGCTCTATGTTGTTATGAACATCAACCACATTATTAAAAGACTATATTTTATGCAGTGTTATGAAATAAAGTTTTATTTTATACATAAGTAGCATTTTTTGTCTGAATTATTATTACAAAATAAAACGTTGAATATTTAAGATCAACAGAAAACGAGCATTTTTGTGCAGCATGTCCATAAAATTTATTACATTGTTTTGAGGATCAAAACATGGACATATGTGCATGGTTTATAAATGTCATTGTTGGATGAACTTTTGGCATTGTTTTGGAATACACAAAATTTTTTTTTACTTAAAACCAAAAATGAAGAAGCATCTATATTTTTTGATTACATGTAGCAATTGGGCACAACAATTGATGAAAACACCATTTGGAGTGAGGCCTTTAAAGATGTCATTTGGAGTGACGCTTTTAAAGGCTCATTCTAAATGACGTCTTTAGGATTTAATGTACAATTTATGTTCGTTCATTTACACTTAAAAATGTCATTTATAATGACATTTTCAATGATGAAGGCATCATTTAAAATGATATTTTCTAAAAGTGACTGGTTTGAAAAATAAGTTCAAAAGTATCTGGTTTTCGAAAATAAGATTTTTAGTGGCATGCGAATGGTGAAAAACTCCCTCAAGAAATATCACCGTGCAGTGCTTGTTTTGTTAAGTGAACCTACATCCAACCATGAATTAATTTCTATTCCGAGACAATTTTATAACATTATTTTTTTGGATAAATTTCTTACCGACCCCTGAAATTTGCTTGAATCACACCACCGTAAACTCTTGGCATTTATATTGTTAATTAAAGGAGAGGATGGATTTGGTATGAAATATCCGTATTGTCTTTTAACTATTCATAATTATTTATAACTTCTCCTCTTGGTCATTTTACATTTTTCATATTTATCTCTCATTCTATATCTCACTCTTTTGTGTTTACGCACATAGATGTCATGTGCCAGCGCCCCAGAAGAAGACAATTTAAAATTTCCCTTTACACTAAAATTAAAGGAACCAATTTACCTTCAAAGAACCATAGAAGAAGACAATTCTAGCCAGCAATTAGGTAAAATTTATCCATAGTTTAAGTCAAACTAACCAATTATTTTTGTTAAATTAATTTTACTTAAATGAAAAGATCATTGGGTTATAATCACTAACTTACATGTAAACAGTGCAATGTCATCTGTCCAATTATTTTAAAAGCTAGGGGCAATATATTAAATGGATAACAAGTATTGTAGTTGGTGCGAGGGTAAATTTACTTACGACTGATCTGTTCAAATTTTATAGTGGCAAGAGTCTCTTAACTGGCCTTTTTTTTTTAATTTTTTTACGAGTATTGTCGGGCAATATATAAATCTATCTGTTCAAACCAAAAAAAAAAAATGTTGGTTTTGTTGGGTTACAGGACCCGGATCACTAACCTTCTTTATTTTATTTTATTTTTTTACGGATCACTAACATACCGAAAAGAAAAGGAACTAAAGTCACTATACCAATCTTTACAAAACCCATGGGAGCAATGTTTCTGAAACAACAAAGATGTGGTTTTTTGTTAGCAACATTTGAGCAGGCGTAGTCCAAAGTCAGTGGGGGGCAGGCAAGGGTCCCCATACCAATCAATGTAATTCTACTACTCATTAATTTATTATCTCAATTGTTCATACAACTTGGTAATTTTACATATAAGTACTAAAATGGGGTGCAACCAACAATGCAAGTTTCCTCGCACCATATTCATAAGTTTTTTGCTCAGTTTGTAGCATCAGTGAAGTTGCAAATACTTTTTGAATACTTCATTTTATGTATCCTTTCAAACATGGGAAAAGGAAAGAAATACACAACCAACCAAATTCATGGGAACCAAGCATCCTTAAAAACTAAATCTATTAAAAAAAACACTCTATTAAAGATGTGCTAAGATAAAAATGGTTAAGTAGTCATCCGCAGAAACAAGCATCCCTTCATATACTAGACATGAACACCACCACGCTCACCCATCTTCGTTCTTATCATGTCTTTAGACAGCAACAATGGAATAACAAAAAAAATTAGTCTCAACTGTAATTAATCTCTTCTGCCACGAGACAACAGTCCCGCTCTGCCAGACCTATTAGTCATGCTAACTGAGCTAAGATGAACTACCATTCAGAAAGGTGTATGTACATAGTTCAAAATCTGCTCTCCTATTGCTAACCCCTTAAATCCACTCTTCAAAATACTGTTCAGTCTATCTCTGAGAATTCCAAAAAGATTGCAGCTAATCAGCAAGCTCCAATTATATGTGCAAAGTATATGTTGCAAGTGACGCACAGAAAGGCATAGCAGGCCAATTACAACTAAGCCTACAAAATGGATTGCTCCGGGTGTTATTCCACATAGATGGTGTAACTTTTGTTTATACTAAACTTGTGACTTCTCTGGCTGCCTAGAGAGTTCCTTATCAGCAAAATGAAGCAGCCTTCTAAGCCTCAAAACCATGTCACAGTGAAAAGGCAGCGATGATCGCCTTTCCAAGTAAGCTGGGCTCACAGTCATCCACGATAGAGCATGAAGTTCTGCAGCCACACACTCAAGAATCAGATGAGTTTCTATTTCAAAATCTTTAGCTTCCAAACTTAAATCCCTTCCTCCTGGCTTGGCAACCCCTTTCACCATTTTTTCTTGGGTAATGCTGTTACCTCCATAATAATCAATAAGATTGACAGAAAGAACTGAAGGCCATTCTTCTTTTGAGTAGCTCCTAGATTCTTTTCTCATAGAGGGTACAGCTTTCGAAACAACAAATCCAGTAGAGAGGGGAATTGCAGAGCCTTTACTGTGTAGAAGATGGGCCAGTGGTGGGGATTCTGCAGTGAGGCATGTGGGCAGCTGCAGAGGTGTTGGTGGTAGAAAGCGCATGCTGGGCGAGGGGATCAAAATATAAGATGCAGATGTTGAACCGAGAGACTTCACAGGAGTGAAACCTTCGAGATAGCCTGACTGAGCCACCATACCAGTACTTTGAGTTGCCCCTGCAAGAACGCACACTGTTACATTTGATGGAATACACTTTGGAAACACTTTTAGTTGCACATACTGGAGTTATAAGGTTGCAGACTACCATCTGAAATATCCAAGTGCCATTTCTACACAAGACAAAACCTTTAGACATACTATACACTTGTCACAACAGTAGCTTACACAGATGTTACAATATAGACCACTTCTTACTTTGAGAAAAGGCCCAAAAAGTATTCAAATATGAAATGAGGTATAGTATATTTTACCTAGGGAAACACCCACTCAGTTTCAAAATATTAATTTCAATATCTCCTACATTTCAGAGGACCTGGGGTTCCTTCATTGTTGGGCCCAATGGGAAATGTCCTATGCCCACTAATGCTGCTTCTAAAAACAATTTAAAAAGTAATTAACTATATTAGTTAGTGGCATTACATTTTTTTCAAAAAAATTCGGGCATAGTTTCTGCAAGAATTCTAAGGAATAAAAATTTGTTATACGGCAGTACATCATGCAAAAGTTATTTGTTCTTTTTTCTTTTTTTCTTCTTCTGATTAAAACTCTGTTAAGCACAAAATTTAAGTTACAGCCTTCTCCCACATCTAGACAAGATTTATATAAGTGCAATACCAATAGACAGCCACAAACCAACACAAGTAACCAAATGGATACAACACAGGTGCTACGTGCAGCACCATCAAAACATGGTCACCATACCTTCAGACTTATTTTACTGGAAATGCTGAAAACATTAGAAGAACTAATATAAGTTGAATGGTTTATTACCAACAGACTTAAACTTTTGATTCAAGCTGGCTTTCAAACATATATGTTAGCAGATTCTCTATCTCTCACAACAAATGGTATTAAACCCAAGCTAACGGATCTGGGTGAACTTTCCAAATGACAGTGTCCCGGAATGGACCGAGGCATAGTTATCAAAATCATATGATTCGCGATTCGATACAGGTACAAAACGATTCGTATCTTGTATGAGAATCGTTTTAGAATTGAATCGAATATGAATCGTACGATTCATACAATTCGATTCATATCTCATGAATTGCATGATTCAATCACTTTTTTTTAAAACCCAAACAACGATGTCGTTTTGTTGGCTAAACAGTAAAACGACGTCATTTTGTTTACTGAGGAACTCGTGCTCTAATAAAAACTCAACCTCTTTACTCGTTCTCTTCTCTCTCTCTCTCTCTCTGTCTCTGACGTCGTTTAAAGTTTGTCTTGTGTTATCTAAAGCTAAAGGTCATAGCCAACTCTCTCGCATTATTAGTTGATTTCTACTCTCAATTCTTTCATGGGTAGTTTGTTAGGTTCTAATTTTTTGTTTCAAAATATAAGCCAATATGTTTTCTCTCAATTAATTTTTTTATTTGTATTTTTTCCATTTATGTTTGCAACTTAATCTATACTGGGTGTCACTATTTTGATTCTTGAATAACCATGATTTTTTAATGAATTTTTTTTTCAAGTTATTGATTTTGAAAATAGTTAAGCAAAAGATCAAAATGAAACAAAACGCTAGCGTCTTTCCATTTAGACGACGTGAATATGGCAATTGATTATTTTTAAAATACAATAATATTCAATATTCTATGTAGTATTATTTTTTATTTTTGTTCAAATTTTGTGAATCTTACGATTCACGATTCGATACGATTCACAATTCTTAAATTTAGAATTCCGATTCACGATACAAATCGCAATTTAACAACTATAGACAGAGGCTCTTGGAAAAAAATACAACAATAATACGCAAGTCAGCTCCAGGAGTTAAAAGTTAAAACTATTGTGGCAGCTGCGCACTGGACTTGTGATAGAGCAAAGTGCAAGCAACTGACTGCAAAACCGTTGATAGAAATACAGATGCAATGACCAATTATCGATGGAGAAGGGCACGACCCATTTGCAAGGCTCCTGATAGAGTGCAAACACGGCGAATCTATAAGAATGGTAGTTAGGGTATGTCTGTTGCAAAAGCTGACCGATGACACGAAATAACAGGTGGCCTTGCCGAGACCGGTGTTTCACACTTGAGAAGTAAGTTAATGTCAATGTGGTTCATCATGTATACGAGAGATTGTTGAATCACGTGTGAAGTTTAGTGCCAAATCAAACAGAAAGTGACTAAAAAATGACCAATATACATTGGACTGCCTGCTTCCTATACGTTTAAGTTTTTGAGTGAAGCTCAATTCCAAACATGTATGTAGCCTTATGTTAACGGCCAGCAATGGTGGGCTCCGTGTCTCCTCCACCATTGTTTTATCACCTTAAAGCATAAATGTCTTTGTCCCTATGTTCAACGAAGAACCAATGATAGTTGTTTAGCACATAGCTACTAGAATTCGCTCAATTACTGGCGACCCACGATCTGGATACATCGATTTTAAACAAGGTGGGTTCGCGATCTAGATTACTAAAATTTACGATCCCAAATTATAATATTAACTCAAAATCAATTCACTTTGAAACATATAATACAAATATAAAATACATATTGATTAACTAAGTGTATATAGATTTGTAATTATATATTGTTTTAAATAATAGAAAATCAAACACAAATGTAAGATAAATGATAATTAATTTAATGTTTATGAATGCTCTATAATATATAATGTTGTATAACAGTAAAAACGATCTAGATAAGAATTTCAAAACAATTGCGATTCAAAATATCGTACCAACTAACCATACCTCCATCGTACCTCGTAACTAAGAAAATGGCATACGAAATTTCCATACCTATACCACGTACCAAAACGACCCACGATTCAGCTAATATTTCAACATAATTCAAGCAAACAAAACAACTACTATAATTAAAACACTAAGAACAAGTACCCTCATGAATCAGCTAACAACCTATATTATACAAGTCAAGTCAATTTCTTTTTTTACTCTAAGCATGGTCAAGTTATCAACCATCCACTAGTAGAGCTTTGAGACACATTAATTGTGGTGTCGCGGTGCAGTATTGAGCGATACAACATAAAAGAAAATGTTGAATATGATGAGAAACTCAAATAATATCGTAGCGTCACGAAATCGTATCAACTGATTTGGTGATGATAATTTGGCAAAAAATTTATTACTTGGTTGAGAGTTGGCCAGTCCGGTCAATCAAAAAAAGGTGTGTCTGGTCAGGTGTAGCTAATATGACTTTCTTGATCTATAGTTCCTCTACTTTCTCTCTATTGACCAATGTTTTGGCTTCCCTCACTCAAAATATCAGTAGTTGTGACACAGACGAGGTAAGCCCTCTCGAGATTGACTTGGAGACAACTCAGAAGACTTGGCCAAGTTGTGTGAGACTCAGGATTTATACTAACATGTAATGATTTCGACTCAGAAGACGCTGAGTCAGATATGATGCAACCGAATCATATCGGTATCAGCTGATACTTTGAACCATACTCCCCAATCTCCCAATAAATGATATTAGAGCATGGTTCAAGATTAGGGTATCGGTCATCAACTCGGAAGGCTCCGAGACACATAGGTCATAAAGATACATTATAGTATCGAGCGATATAACCTAAAAGAAAAGGTTGAATATGATGAGAGATTCAGGTCATATCGCGATCTCACGGAATCATATTGGTTGATTCAGTAACATTAATTCACCGACTCAAAATTTATTTGAATACAACTCGGACGACTTAGTCAAGTCGTGCGAGACTCGGAGTTTATACGTATCATGTAACGGTATCGTCTCGAAAGCCGTCAAGTCGGATATCACTCGGTTAACTTGTATCGATTTCGGTCAATACTTTGAACCATGTATCAAAACAGGTTGATGGTGATTCTGAGTGAACTCTCAAAGAAGCGATGTAGCATGCCGATACTAATGGTGGCTCTCAAGAAATGTAATGAGTTCTTGGTACTAAAGTCATTGAAACTCAACTCAAAAAAAAATGCAGGGCACAGGCTTGAGCGCAAAGAATCTTGGTCGAGTGGTACTGTGGTAACTCATAAAAAGTGATAAAAACTTGGCTCTTAGAAGAGCAAGCTCGATAATGGTTAGATGCAGTGCTTGTAAATATTATTGAATCAGACTCAAAGGGGAGCTAAACCTAATGTGGTTCACACATGAGGGGAAGATTGTTGGGTATAATATGTGCGGGAATCTCACATCGGATAGAAAAATAAATTAAAATGTCCTAATGTACTATTAATTAGTTCACCACCTATAGGCTTAAAATTTTAGGTTGGAATGGGTTCCAGACATATATATTGAGCCTTGGATAATTGGGCTCCCTAATCTACCAACAAATGGTATCAAAACTGAAGGCTAACGATCCTAGGTGAACTCTCGAAGTAGTATAATGTGTCAACATTAATGGTGGCTCCAAAGAAAAGTGATGGGTTGTTGGTTTGGTATTAAAGTCACCGAAAAGCAACTTGAAAAAAAGAGCAATGCACGAGCCCGAGCGCAAGGACTCTTGGTAGGGTGACTCATAATGAGCAGTAAAAGCTTAGTTCTTGGAATTGCGGATTCTTACAAAAAGAATGGTAGGACGCGGTGGTTGTGGAACGTTGTGGATCAAACTCAAGGAGCTAAGCTAGATGTGGTTCACACATGAGGGGGAGATTGGTGAGTATTGCATGTGTAAAAATCCCACATCAGATAGAAAAATAAGTTAAAGTGTCCTAATATACTATTGATAGGCTCACCACCTATAAACTTAAGTTTTTAGGTGAGTATGAGAACCAGATTTGTATATTAGGCCTTGGATCACTAGGCTTTTTGTTCTCCTAACAAAGTTGCATCCTTGAAATTTTCTAGATTGATTAAACAAATCATTACATGTAGTGAAATGAGGAAGAAATCAATAACAGCTCCTAGAATTAGTGCCTAGTTTGTTTGGGGGGCAACCTTTTGACAAATATTGATCAGGGATCTTTGTAAAATGAAAAACAATAAATTAAACTGAGTCCTTCATAATTGTAGGAGTCATTGAGCAAACACTTTAAAGAAAAAAAAACCCTCCCACGACCACCCGGGGTTCTAACCAATTCATTTGCTGAAGAGATTTTGAGAAACTAGGACCGTTTCAAGTAAGAACATATGCCAACAGTTGTGGTCAAAGATTAAAATATCGTTTCAAAACGGTCGAAACATCCAAAACGTTTCCATTTCCAAAAAGACCAAAACGAAACAGTGATGAAATCGAAATTCTGATATTTGAGGTATTCCATAATGTTTTTAAATATATTACAATATTTCAATGCATTTGCACAATTGTTTTAGAATGTTTCAAGATATTTTGATATATTTTCATCAATGTTTTAGAAAAATAATCCTTAAATTTTTTATTTTTTTCATTAAATTTCTGAAATGGATCGAAACGTTTCTGAAATACGTCGAAACGTTTTCCGTTTCCTATGTGACCGAAATAATACGGCGAAACGATATTTTGATCCTTGAGGATAATACAGGTGTCTACATGCGCCCAAAGTCCCAATTCAACACGGAATGAAGAATAATGTCCCGTAATGCCAAACATGCATACCAACAAGTATCATGATTAAAACCACAAAATTTTAGCACTAGGTCCCAGTAAATCAATATATAAGCCTTTCACTTGTAACTAGAACTTTTTTTTTTTTTTACCCCTAAGCCTACCTACCCCCCACCCCCCCCCCCCCTTTTCTTCTCTCTTTTTCCTCTCTCCCATCACATTTCCAAAGGACAGCTAGTAACAAATGTCTGGATAGTTATTGCACACACAAAAGGTAATAATAAGACCAACATTTGGGCATTGTTTTCCTCCCTCTTTTCCATCCGATAACGCTAATTGTTACTTTTTGCCTATGGTGAATGCTTATGCTATGACTATCTGGATTGAATAAACAAAACTAAATCCAATATATATCTAGGATTAGCGAACCTGCTAACAGGAATGAATTTGGATGGCAATCCAATAATAAATTCCAACGACTACACGTGTGTAAATCTGCATAGATTTAGTCTTAATTCAATTTGATTACCACCATTGAGAAACTTTGGCACATTTGTACGCGAGAAATAGCATCCAATTAACATTTAGGGCACAAAAAAAGCTTCAATAATAGGATGAAACATTAAAAAAAAACATTATGTTTGTGGCCCTTCATGTTTTCAACGACATGTGCTGCCTATAAAAATTAGTTAAACAAAAATGCAGTGTGTTGTAACCCTAAACCAGGACATGGAATGAATTTGATGGGAGAATGGATGAGGAATGAGAAAGTAAAACAAGAAAAGTAGGTACCAGGAGATGTTGAATCTGCATGACAAACTAGGTGTAAAGAATGATCAACTGAAACGGAGATGAAAGTGATGCTTTGCACCCATTGAAGTAAACCCCTAGAGGTGTCCACCATAGTCTGACCACCCATTATCTGTTTTCTACCAGAGGCTTGTCCCAAACCACCTTTCATGAAAGCAGAAGCCTTTGAGTGAGGACTGTACAAATGACCAGGTGAAGAAGGTAGGGTTCTCTCTTGTACTAAACTCATCTCTTGTTGCTGCAATGAAGTTCCACTGTTGCTAGCAGGCATCCCATCGGGCACAGCTCTTCGTAGCTGCAGAGGCCACTTTTTCACCTCAGAACCCCCAATAGAATAGAGAGCTTTCTGCCATTCTGTTTACAAACATATTGGCATTGAGTTAGAAAATACAAGAAAAATACCCCCGTGATGAGGAAATACAAAGAGAAACTACAATCTATAGCATCATTTAATATTGCCGTTAAATTCTTAGGCCAACAGAATGATAATTATAAGTGGCTCCATAATCTCTATCAACTCCTAGTCACCAGCAGGTTTCAAGAGCAATATATTGTAGCATGCTGTAAAACTTCATATCAGACAATCACCGTGGCCCCTCAAACTGCAACTTATTTCTCCTAACATATTTCGTGCAAATGGAATGAATTTTCATGGATATTCATTACTTGTAGAAAAAGATCAAGGGTGATTTGATCAAAGTATTGCAGCAGTCACAACAAACAAATCAAGCAGCCACCCTTAATCATCAAACATTTGACATAGAAAACCACTCAACACGAGAAAGCAATTAGCAGTTTTCTGAATTTTCTAAAACTCAACAATATAAGATAACAAAAAGAATGAATCATAATGAAAGGTCATGGAAGAAAATGATATACCCCTGACACTCAAGCTCAAAGAAGCATCCAATGCGTGTGATCACAAAATCTCTAGGCTTGGCAATGCCAGTATCAGGAGAACAAGCCTGAAGAACCTGACACCCTTGTTGCAGAATTTGGACAAAAAGTGATTGAGACCCTTCGTATCTTGCCTACTACTAATACCACCGAAAGGGAATACAGAGCTGTCCAGCAATTCTCCCCGCGAATCTGTCCAAATGCATACTAGCCAACGCCAATCTTCAGTCCAACCATAGCAACAATGTAGGCTTGCAAGTGTCTTTTGGTGGCCAGATCCAAAACCATCCGACTCCGATCCCTCAAATGAAAGCTTGTTCCACTATCTACACTTCCTGATGTAATTGAACTCTGCATAAAGCTGCCACTAGTACCATCATCCAACAACAGCTTTGAAGATTCAGATGCTAGATTCCCAAAAACAGGAGGTGAAACTCCACGCTCTAGGGAACCAGGTTCCGCAAGAATAAAAAGGGGTTCAAACATGAAACGAATTTTCATCTGAAAGAAAATTTGGGTTGTGTCCTAGTCCTCCAGTCCTTGACATTTGCCAAGAATTATCCCAAGCACCAGCCCTCAAGCTAGCATCATAGTCACCCTCTCTGGGAAGGGCAGGTCCCCCAATACGAGAAGCAACACAATCCTTCCACATCCCTGGAATTGGAGAAGACATTTGCATCATGACTGAAGAAGATCCTATTAGATAGGGACGATGATGGAACCACATCACTATAGGATCCT